GCGTGCGTGCGTGCGTGCGTGCGTGCGTGCGTGCGTGCGTGCGTGCGAGCGTGCCTGCGTGCGTGCGTGCGTGCGTGCGTGCGTGCATGTGAGTCGTTGGGAATTATAATAAACAAAACTTAATGAAAATAGAAATTAATAGACAATATTTTTTAATCTTTTATAACACCAAGTGACGGGGACGAGCAAGTCGTGGACCACGCCTGTCTATAACAACGGTTACACACGCCGACTTTTAGCCGCGATGCATAGCAATGCAGTCGCTAATCGTTTACCTTAACGCGCGTGAGTTTAAGCAACGATGTAAAGGTGATGTGATGTTAACTTAACGTCTTTATTAATTCACTTTTAAATTTACAATTATCAAAACAAAATAATGTGAATATACAGATATTTCGTACATAATTATTCAGTCGCGCGTTTGCAAAATCAAAGTCAAAGTCAAAGATTATTTATTCCATAGGTAAAATAAATTTACACTTGAAAACCTCACATTTAAGCTACTGCTCGTTCACTACGCTGATCTCCCTGAGAAGAACGAGCAAGAAACTCTAGGGATTGCTCTTTTCAAATAAACTTAAATGCTATGGAATACACTTTGAATCAAATTTGTGTGGATTCTGGAGCCATGTCGTCTTTCCATACATCTTTTTCTAACACGTAGTCTTCAATTTTGTAATATGATTTTTCGATCACAATATTTTTAATGTAGTTTTTAAAATAGAAAAATTCGTGAGGTCCGTTGGTTCGTTCCGTGGCTTAGTTGGTATAGCGTCTGGCACGGTATGCAAGAAGACGTCGCCGTCGGTTCGAATCCGACCGGATCGAAGGAATTTTTTCTGAGTGTTCGATCTTTGTATTCATAATTATAACAAACTAGTGGAGTAATTTCACAAAAAAATAATTGAATATCAATTCAATAAAAATTTAATTAAGTAGTTTTTAAACTTATATATGCTCCGGAATCTTATTGTAAAAACGTATACAGTTCCCCATAAAAGTGTTGTTAACCTTGGTTAAACGAAATCGTGGTACCATGATATCATTTTGGATTATGGATATCATTTTTCTTATTGAAATTATGTATATTTTTAAGGGCATATAAAATATTTGAGTAAATGTACTGTGATGCCACAGTCATGATACCAGTCTCCTTAAACTTTTCTCTGAGAGAAACCCGAGAGCCTAGACGGTACACAGAACGAATCGCTCGTTTTTGCAATACAAATATGGTTTGAATATCTGCCGCTTTACCCCACATGAGAATCCCGTAGGACATTATACTATGGAAGTAACTAAAGTAAACTAGTCTAGCAGTACTAACATCGGTAAGCTCACGTATTCTGCGGACTGCGTATGCAGCGGAGCTTAATCTGCTGGCCAGGGACGATATATGTGGAAACCATTGAAGTTTACTATCTAAGGTCACTCCCAAGAAGACTGCTTTATTAACAAGGTCTAACTTTTCTCCGTTTATTTCTATGCTTGGACTAGTCGATTTTACGTTAGGTAATTCAAATTTAACGCATTTTGTCTTCTTGGCATTAAGCAATAAATTGTTAGCATTTGCATTGATGCAAATCCTAGGGTAGGTGGACTAAAGCACATAAGTCAAAATCCAACATCGTTCATTTGAATTAATACATCTACCGGCTAAAGCACGGGCTAAGTCAAATTCATTTGTTGCTCCATAAATTTACAACTTTATTCTAGAGGCGTCTTTTGCAAATTTATCATTCTCTTCACATCTTCCAACACCATAAACAACGCAAAAAATATATAATTATATATTAACAAATGAAGCACTTTTTGATTTGTGTGCTTTAGTCCTCTGACCCTAGTAATCGCAAGTGTAGCGATGAAATGCGCCCGTCACCCTAAGTGCCACGTGCCTGTAATTTCACCAGCACCCTTACCCTTCAAAATTGGAACGTAATAATGCTGACATTACTGCTTGGCGGCAGAAGTAGGTAAGGTGGCAGTACTTCCCTGGATGAACTCTTTCACAAGGAGCTCTCCTGCTACTAAATAAAGTAAAATATAATGTGAAGGTATTTACTGTATTTACTTTTTATTGACAAGTTAGTGTTAAATAGACAATTGTGTTCTTGCAAAATTCTACCGTATATTGCAAATTACTGTTATGGTTTTTCAGGAATCTTTGGACAATTTAAACTTTGCCGACGTCACGCAAGCAATTCGTCGTTGTACAATCAATATGCGCGCTTTCCCAGTTCTCTGCGGATCTTCGTACAAAAACATCGGCGTGCAAACTCTAATGGACGGCGTTATTCAGTACCTACCGTCGCCGTTGCAGTGCAATAACTTGTACAAGTGTTTCGGGGACGATTTAGCCGCTAGAGCGTTCAAAGTGCTTCACGACGACCAAAGGGGTGTGCTGACCTTCCTTAGGCTGTATAGTGGAGAGATCGTCAAAGGACAGAAGATCTATAATCTTGGACAAAGTAAGAGTGAGCAGGTATGTCTCTTGTTAAATAATAATAATTCGTTTATTTGCTTAAAACATAGTATAACAGAAGATGTTACAAGAGGCAGTGCCAGTAGAAACGTGTTTCGCATATGTTAAATAGCATGCAAATGTCTAGTTATATAATGTCAGTACAATAATAATAAAAAAATGTCACAAACATGTCAAGTTACAAATTAATTTGGTCAAAAATGATAATCTTGAAGATAAAATCTTACATCTCATTTCCTGTCAAATATTTCGTTTAGGTCATAAAAAACACTTGTACAGCTTTGTTTTAAATAAACTTAGTTTTAGTTTTGGAGGTTTTACGCAGCAGGGTACAAACTGACTTACATCAAGTTTCAGCGTGTCGGAGTGCTTAGATATTAACTTAGTTGTTGTTTTTAATATCTTGGTGGTAGGGTCTTTCTTCACCTTTTTATATGTGCTTATCCGATAGTAACTCAGTTATTTTGCTGTTATAATCTGACGTATTCACGACCACGGTCGCGTTACCTTTATCTGCACGGAGGATGACTAATTCAGGATCTTCGCGGGAGATCTTCAGCGCGTTATATTCATCTCAAGTAAGATTCGGTCTGGGCTGTTTATTTGAACGCAATATTGTTTACGTTGGTTTTTTTGAAAAAACAAATATACGCGATTTAAATCCGGAAAAATAGTTTCATTTCCTATGTGTAACAATCGCGAAAACCTAAGAACTCGATATGTAATAGTTTAATCTCAAGTGGTATTTTATTATATATGTCAACACACATTTTTAAACAACTTTTACTGTGTTTAGCAATCATGGGAATAGTATCAAGTACAAGTCTATTCGGGTTTCTACAGAGTTTAGTATTCACATCACAGGCTTTCTTAAACAAATATGTGTTTTCGTACAAAGATACAAATTTCGTATATATATAATGATGGTAGTGGCAACAGACCAAGGCTCTGAAACAAGGGTCTGTATGTTTCATCCGGAGGAATTCCACAAATTGCTCTAATGCATTTCTTTTGTGCTACAAAAGCTCAGTTTCGATCTGTACTATTACCCCATACTCTAAGGCCGTAACGTGATATGGATTCTACATACGCCCTATATGTGGTTATGACAGTTTTCTTATTTGTTATATTTTTCAGCGTTTTAACGCATATACAAAGTTATTGATTCTCGAACATGCATTCTCGACGTGAGTTTTCCAGTTTAGTTCTTGATCTATAGTTACTGCAAGAAATTTCGTGTGGTTATACTTCCTGAATTGCATCGATATTTAAATTGAAATTATATTTAGTATGTCTCGATTTATTAAAATGTATATTGTTTGATTTGCTTAAGTTAATATTCAGATTATTTGAAGGATTATTTAAAGGAGACACCACACTTGTCACATTAACCCGTCATGCATCCAAGCGTGTCTACACACGACACTAACTAACTACTTTCATCCATAATTATATAAAAAAATGGTTTTCTAAAAAAAATTTCATTTTAAAAATTATTTTAGTATTTGTAATGTCAAATAAACACATTTATTATTGTCATTATATTATTAAGTAAACAGTAAAGAACATCTGTTCAGACAGGCTCTATGTACGTTGCGCTGGCTGACGAGTACCAGCCCGTTGAAAAGGTCACAGCAGGGAACATCGCTGTCGTCAGCTCACTAAAGGTAAATAAACTTTGATGACAAAAAATTAAAATAGATGATGGTTACATACATACATCGAGTATATGTATAACCAGAAATAGAGACGAAATATTTCCTGGTAACTCATTAGTGATACATCACTTATAAACATCAACTCTCGTTTGCACTGAAATATAGACAGCGCCAACAACTGACTTGTGTGAAAAAATATTCTGTATTTATTGTACTAAAGATAACATCTTTAACAATGGCGTGCTGCTCCGTTTGGTGGTGTGGGGAAAAAACAGGAAAACATCTAATTACAAAACAAACGGAATCAAATTTCATTGGTAATTAAATATGTAATATTGCAAATTTCGTCAATTATAGCAAAGCTCAAGTTAACTGGTCGATCTGAAGTGAAACAATTGACGACACTCGACAATTGTTTCGAATTCGGGCTGACCAATCGGAGCGCAGTTGTCATCGTAATGATTTTGCAGAATAGTTTTCAAACAAATTAAATGACATTTCGTCTCCATTTCTGGTTATATACTGGACGCATACATAAATATAAGGATGCATACATAAATATAACAACTTTTGAAAACGCCATGAAAACAGGCAACGATGTCAGGCGACCTAATAACGACATCACAGGCCTCCGCAAACCGTGCCAAAGCAAACCTGTCGTCGTCTCTGAAAGAGCCAGGGCGGGTCGAAGAACTGATGCTGCCCAGTGCTCGGCAGCGCCTGCAAGCGCTCGAAGGTGACGTTACCGACGATGACATCGCTGACATATTGCTTGGCATTGGTAAGTGACCTTAGTAATTTTTTGGTCCACACACACATACCATCAAGTCTGTCCTTCTGTCTGTCTGGGACGGATTTAGTAGCAGTAGAGCTCCTTGTGAAAGAATTAATCCAGGGAAGTACTGCTACCTTACCTATTTCTACATTACGGCGCTTCGGTTTCGTAGGTAAGGGTGCTGGTGAAATTACAGGCACATGGGTTTATATATTACTTGTCAATTTATATTTCAATCTCAAGGTGACGGGCGCAGTGGCAGTGCCCCTAAGATCTTTGCCATTTACAACTCTTGGTGGCATTGCAACTGTTATGGACAGGCGTGTCGCTTAACATCAGGCGCACGACATGTTCGTCCCGTCCCTTGGTATTATGAAAAAAACAGTCGCTGTTTCGAGTCTAGTCCAGTCGAGTAGAAGGATTTTTTCAGTATTTACCCGAGACTCTAGCGTTCGATTTCGCCCAATATCGCAACGTATTCTCGTTGGCGTTTTTTAAACACATCGCCTTTTCATTTCGATACCATACACGTAATTTCTTGTAAGTCTAAATACAATTTTTTGCTTTTTTACTCAAATATATTAGTCTTTTTTAACTTATTACATGTATTTGCCAAGTTTTATTGACATCGGTTACTGGAACGTGAAAGCGAAACCGGATTCTACCTAGTTTGCCACCCTTAGAGGTGGAATATTTTTTTCAAATTTAAATAGGACCAATACTGAGGTAACCCTCTTTCGAACAGACAAAGAATCATCACAATCGGTCCACAAATGCCAGACTAATCCCGTAACATACATAAATAAAAATATGTATAATAAAATATTGAGAACCTCCTCCTTTTCTGAAGTGGGTTAAAAATTAAGTTTATTAATGAATTAAATTTGTATTGAATTGATATTCAATTACTTTTTGTGAAATTACTCCTCTAGTTTGTTATAATTATTAATGCAAAGATCGAACACTAAGAAAAATCCCTTCGATCCAGCTGGATTCGAACCAACACGCTCAGCATACCGTGGCTCACGCTCTCCCAACTGAGCTACGGAAAAGAAACTCATTATTCATTCATTCATTACCATTAACCCACATCTCCAATTTGGTCATGGTAAATGAATTTGAATTTACATGAGATATTAATTTCTCCTCAGGGACAACGATTCCCGAACCAGTATTCTTGTGCTCCATCGAGCCGCCCAGCATCGCGTACCAGACGCCGCTGGAGACCGCGCTCAACGAGCTGCAGAGAGAAGATCCCAGTTTGAGGGTCCTCACCGACGAGGACACGGGCCAAATGGTCTTAGCAGGTACACTGGAAACGGATTACTTTTGTTCTTCGACTTTCAAAAACTCAAACAAATTGGAAAGTAAAGGGGTAAAATCTTTAGTAGCAGTAGAGCTCCTTGTGAAAGAGTTCGTCCTGGGAGGTACCGTCATTTTACCAATTTCTGCCGCCAAGCAGTAACGTCAGCATTACTGTGTTTCGGTTTTGAAGGGTAAGGGTGCTGGTGAAATTACAGGCACATGGGACTTGTCAACTCATGTCTCAGGGTGAAGGGCATAGTGGTAGTGCCCATAAGATTTTTGCTATTTAAGAATCTCGAATTGCACTGCAACTGTTGTGGATGGGAGTGTCGCTTACCACCAGGCGCACGACTTGTTCATCCCGTCACTAGATATTATATTAAAAGAAAAAAATCTGTCATGGATTCTCTATTCTGAATTACTTCTTGTTTACTAACAAACAAATACGATCTCGATCGACTGTTGCTTCCAAATTTACTCGTTTTGTTTGATCACAAGTGTCAATTGTCAAAAAAAATCAAACAAATCAATAGACACCTTAATATGTATTGTCTACGAATTTTATTACCTAAGTGTCACTATTGTAATCATTATTTATTTTCCTGTACTATCAGCAAAATTGACGCCTTACCATCTTAGGGGTTCTTTTCGCGTGTAGGCAACCACTGTCGGTAATTTCTTGTTTTTTTTTTTTCAACCAATAACATTTAAGATTTAATAAAAGGTAATATTTTTACTGCAAATAAAAGGTGTTCACATAAAAACCGTCAACGGTATTTCACTGTTTAATTAAAAACATTAATCAAAAGGCAATAAATAAAATAAAACATTAATAAATAATAAAAAATCACACACTATAAATCGCACCCCTCATGGAAGAATGACATAAGTGGAGTTACGTCAAAAACGTTTATTGCTCCATTAGATACAGAAAAATATAACCAACATCCTCTCCAATTTTTGTAATTCTATCGACTAATATTAGGGTTGTTGTAGTAGTTTATTATTTAAAATAGTTAAGTTGTTAAGATAAAGCAAAGTCTTAATGATCGTATTTCTACGTCAGTTAAAAATTCTATCTCTTGTATTGTTTAATAGTATTTTTCTATAATAATAACGCACACTCTCATAGCCCCGCACTCGGGAAACCCTGCATCGCAGGTGCCATGGACATACATATAGACAACCACAAATGACACCCAAACTCACGAGAGAAATAAATGTAGGCTAATCAAATATTTCTCTCAGTCCGGGAATCGAAACCGGGACCTCTGCGTGGCAGTCCACATGGTAACCGTTCGGCCACGGAGGCAGTTAAATATATGAGGAGGAACATTTATTAGAACAGTATAAGATGCGAGCCTAGTTAATTTCCGCTTAAAAAATTCGGGAGTGGTAAGGCTTCAACTACGGTGATAGTACTTCCACTGTTTGTTCTATCGATTCATACCTGTAGTGTACATATTATGTAAAATATTGATTTATAGAATACATGAATACAAGATATTTATTCGCTGAGAAATGTAGTTAACAATGCAGGTCTTGTAATATATTATATTAGACCGTACATTTCACCAAAACTTGGCATGCGAATATTTTACACAACGCTTAACCACTTTAGACGTAGCACGCATTAAAGTTAAATTAAAACAATATCATAAACAAACTACAACAATTGGAATTTAACCAGAAAATAAGAAGTCAAAAATATAACGTACAATAATTAAATTTTACATTTTACGTTATCATGTCAAAAATCATTAATATTGTAGTAGCATTGAGCAACTAACAAATTATGCAATTTCTTTTTTTCTTTTTCATTCTTTAATAGCATCTGGCAATTTATTAAATAATTTGGGTGCTAATAATACGAACATCCTACGCCTTAAAGTTGCTTAGATTTTGTTTCACATAAACACAAGCGTCGTAAATATACATTTTATAATCTATGATAATGAACTAATTTTAATACTTAAACTTTTACTTCAGGCATGGGCGAACTTCACTTGGAAATCATTAAAGAACGCATCGTTCGCGAGTACAAAATTGATGTTGAATTAGGGCCACTACAGATTGCGTACAGAGAGTCATTGCTTGGCAGTGCCAAACAGAGCATGACGGTTGACAGGAAGATTGGCGGTGCCAGACAACAAGTGAAGGTTACTCTTAGTGCTAAACCTGTAAAGGGCCTCAGCCAGGATAAGGTGTTGAAGTAAGTAATTGTTAAAAGTGTTCTAGGTTTAACATCAATAGAGCTCCTTGTGTACTTCTGCCGCCAAGCTTTTTAGCTGAGCATTACTGTGTTTCATATCTGACCATTGCTGGGTTTCAGTTTTGAAGGGTAAGGGGTGCTGGTGAAATTGCAGGCACTTGAGACTTTTCAACTTATGTCTCAGGGTGATGGGCGCAGTAACCCTTAAGGTCTTTGCTATTTAAAGCTCTGAGTGGCACTGCAACTGTTATGGATAGGCGTGTCGCTTAACACGACTTGTTCATCCCGCCACTTGGTATTATAAAAAAATAAAAAAAGTAAATTAAGCTTCAAGTATTAATACAAACATCGGACACAGAAAAAATTTCTTCGATCCGCCCGGAATTGAACCGACGTCTTCTAGCGTACCGTGCCAGACGCTATACCAACTAAGCCACGGAACGAACCAGCGGACCTCACGAATTTTTCTAGCTTGTTGTCGTGTCTTTTGTATTTGGTTTGTCAACGACTTTTTACTCTTAGCGCCATCAATGAGAAATCTATGCTATTTCGTCACCCAGTTAGATACCTTTACAGCTACCAGCCCCGGCTAGAGATGTCGCAGTTCATTGTATTGAATTTTTTATTGAATTGGTATTCAATAATTTTTTTATGTGAAATTACTCCACTAGTTTGTTATAATTATTAATACAAACATCGAACACAAAGAAAAGTTCCCAACCAGCGACTTCGCCATACCGTGGCTGAAGTTTTTGTTTTTCATAAATACTTGGTACTTGGTGTAACGGGCTGGTGTCCGCAACTCGACGTCAAGGCGCCTATTTTGCGTATGATCTATTTACAAATTAATTATGAATGAATGGTGATGTCTAGTGAGAGAATGGTTGCTTCTTGAGAGGTCGGTGTTTTGATCCCTTGTGATGGAATGTATCCATCGAGTATTTAACCAGAAATAGAGACGAAATGTCATTTCATTTGTTTGAAAACTGTTCTGCCACATCATTACTGCGACAACTGCGCTCCGATTGGCCAGCCCGAATTCGGAACAATTGACGGGTGTCGTCAATTATTTCACTGCAAATCGACCAGTTAACTTGAGCTTTGCTATAATAGACGAAAATTGCAAAATTATATATTTCATTACCGATGAAAATTGATTCTGTCTGTTTTTCTCTTCTTCATTACAATATCTTTATTACAATAAATACAGTATATTTTTGGAATATACGGAGACGTACACAGGTCAGTTGTTGGCGTTGTCTATATTTCAGTGCAAACGAGATTTGATATTTCGACCCTTCCTACGTAAGTATCGTATGTCGAAATTGCCAACTTTACAGGGGAGCGTTTTAACGGTCTGAATGAAAGAGCGATCATCTAATAGATAATCTAACCGATATCTAGTATTTTATAATACTCTATGTGAGTAACGAGCTTTGCCGAATAAAACTGAGAAATGCCAAAGTCACGTGTTATACTTATTTCAGAGAATTCAAAACTTTAAAACGCTCCCCTGTAAACTTGGCAATTTCGACATACGTTACTTTACGTAGGAAGGGTCGGTTTATAAGTGGTTTATCATCACTGATGAGTTTCCGGGAATGTATGACCCTTATTTCGTCTCTATTTCTGGTTATATACTCGATGCATGTACCTATGTCTTTAAAATCCAAATTACGTACATTTACGAATGTAATAGCAATATCTCTCGCTAACAATGAAGGAAAATGTCGTGATGAAACCTTCGGGCCGAAGTATGTTTAAAACCGTTTGAAATGGTGAAATTCTCAATCCACATTGGGCCAAGTTGGCGGACTGGTACGTAAATCCGTCCCGTAGACGTGTAATTGGTTCACAGTGATTTTTTCTTTTAAATAAATAATAGACGCGTGCTTGTGACCGAAAATGCTCTAGCGTCGAATAACCCCAAACTGTACTTTTCGGAAAACACTGGCGCAGGTAGAGTATTCCATTCCTTTGCATCAGAAAGGAGGAAGCAAAGCGCTTAGTACGAATGGATGTGGTATATCATCGACTTAAGGATGGAGTGGTCCGGACCTCCTAGTCGATCGAAGGAGGAACGGTGAGGTTGGAACCAAAAAGTTCCTGCGCACACTTCAGTTGACTCAATTGATTTTAAGATTTTTTCGTTCGTCGTTTCTTACGTTATCAGAAAAATTCTAAACTTAAAAAGACATTGCGGGTATCGCTTCCGTTCACACCGCCGACGCGCCCTTATGGTACCTATCCGTAGTCCGAAATGACATTTTTCAGAAATAACTTATGCACGAATTATCATGACTTCGAAAGTAATTTTAAGAGGAAAATATTTTTTCTTTTAAACTTAACCTACCCTAACCGAACCTAATAGTGTCTTTGCGATAAACATCCAACATATCCTGAAAGAAAAACGGTTTCGTTATAATTTTTCGGAAGTTAGAACGTTATTTCGGAAGAAACATTCGAGTTTGTGATACGTTACCGCCCTTATGTCACGATAATAACCCAGTAGGATTTCTCGTATTCCAAATATTGAAGTTTCCATTAACCTTGAAATGTAAAAGTGGTATTTTATTAACTCCAGGTTAGACAAATCGGCGGACAGCGCAGCGAACTTGGCGCACCTGCATCCTCGATCTCTAAACGCCATCAAACACGGAGTCCGAACTGCTTTGATGCACGGACCGAAGCTTGGCTGCCCGGTAAGCAACTCATCTCTCGATTACATCTGGGCCCTTCCATAATTTGCGAGATGTGACAAAAAATACTTTTATAATACCAGGTTATGGGACAAACAAGTCGCGCGCCTGTTGGTAAGTGACACGCCTGTCCATAACAGTTGCAGTGCCATTCAGTGCTTTAAATCTTCAAAACCGTAACACAGCAATGATCACATTACTGCTTGGCGGCAGAAATAGATAAGATGGCAGACGAACTCTTTCACGAGGCGCTCTACTGCTACTACAATTTTAAATCAAAACTTCATTCAAGGTATATTCTTCTATAACTGCGACCAGCAATTGATCTGTTGTGGTTTATTACTCGGTAACAAGCGGTGTAAAAAGTGATCGTTGTGATGTGAAAGATAATGTATGTATGTATTAATTAAATTTTTATTGAATTGATATTCAATTATTTTTTGTGAAATTACTCCACTAGTTTGTTATAATTATTAATACAAAGATCGAACACTCAGAAAAAACACTCAGAAAAAATTCCTTCGATCCGGTCGGATTCGAACCGACGTCTTCTTGCATACCGTGCCAGACGCTATACCAACTAAGCCACGGAACGAACCAACGGACCTCACGAATTTTTCTATGTGCTTGCGTCGTGTCTTTGTACTTGGTCTTTCAACGACGTTTTAGTCGTAGCGCCATCTATGAGAAATCTTTGACAGATTTATCACCCAGTTAGTACCTTTACAGCTACCAGTCCTGGCGAGAGATGTCGCTATTCACTGTATTAATTAAATTTTTATTGAATTGATATTCAATTATTTTTTGTGAAATTACTCCACTAGTTTGTTATAATTATGTATGTATGTAATTAAGATACAAAAGAGAACACTTCAATGGTTTGTTGCGCCGGCACCAGCCCATGTAGCGCCCTAGTGCAATCAACCGGCTGGCGCCCTCTAGTAGGTACGCGATCAAAACTGGAATACTTAGCGCGTATTTGTATTCGTTCGGAAACGAGAGGGTCCCAAATGTCACAGGGATCATTTTATCTCCAGGTGTACAAGCGGAATTTGAATCGGACTTAGAAGTGGGTCTGAAATTTCTAGATTTGTATAATCTCGGATGCGAAACGAATATTATATTATCTACGGTGATCGGAAATTCGGGTGCAAATGGTGCAGTTATAAAATGATGTTGGAAAGCAATAGCCCATTTACTTCGGCGGCCCCGAAGAATGTGGAGAAGCGCGTGGAGAAAGACAGATTGAGAATGTCCTCAAAAAGCCAAATAACAAGATTAAACGTACCAGTATGACAAGACTGAAGAATGGAAGAAGATAGAGAGATGTTTTTCAGAACCGTAGACTGCTTACCCCTGTGGGAGGCAGATTTAAAAAATAATGTGCCAAACGGGTCGGTATCATGATGACTGTATCTTCAAAATGACCTGATCAGCTTAGGGACTAGATCACAAAACGACCACCTATGTAGAAACACTATGACTTACAATTACTCGGTAGCAAAACGACTAGATAGCGAAATGATCATATCTATAGTGTGTCTTTTGTTGAAAACGGAGTAAATTTCATTCTGGCTTCATGTCAGATTCTTTTACTCTCCACTCGATACGGCTCTGGAACGCTCTACCGGACGCCATCAGACGGTCTCCTAATATATTTTCTTTTAAAAATAATGTTCATGAGCATCTTCTAAATTGTTTGTCACAGCAATAATCATCATCATATTCTGTTATTGTAAGTATTTTGTATATCTATAGTATATTTGTATGTATGTAAGTGTATGTATTATATTATTAAGTAAGGTATTAGGTTAGTTTGTTATATATATAATTATGAATTTGTTTCATTTATTTTAATATAACCGTAATATTCTGTTTATTTACCGCGTTCGTGAATTTCGTTTTTCTCAGAGGTTGACTGGTAGAGAATGCTTTTAGCATTAAGTCCGCCTTTTGTACCCTTTGTATTGTGGTCAATAAAGTTTAATAAATAAATAAAAAAATAAAATGACATTTGTAGGGCTGCCAGTTTTAATTAGTTATGTAGTTGTTGTAGATAGGTTTATCGATAGATTGTGACTGAATTGTGACGTTCTAATGATTGCGTTATTGCCTTCTCTATGATCAATTTTTATTCACATACATTTTAAGAAGAATAGTCAAATTTGATTATCTATTTATTGAATTAAAATGAAAAACTTATTTTTCATAGTTCATAGTTCTAAATACAGTGCGTGTATGTATGAACTTACAAAAATTGACAATTTAAATGAATATATGCTCAGTCATTGGATGAATAATGAGTCGAGGACGATTTAAATGAAACAAGTTCGACTATTTATTCCATAAGCGTGACCGATATTCAGTCGGTAGTCGATGGAATATTTATCGACTGCAATCACTAGCTGCTTGCAACCGTGCTACATTTTTGCACAATGAACTGGCATTTTACTCCGTCTTCAAAAAAGACAGACTATAAAACGACAAGGTATAAAATAACTAGATTTTGTTATTCTTTTTTAAAAGTACAGTTTGATTAAGCATTTAGTATAATTGGAAATGAAACTATTTTTCCGGATTTAAATCGTGTATATATATTTTTTTTTTCAAACAAACCAACGTTTCGCGCCCCTTACAGGTCCCATGGTCACGGTTGACTGAGGTGGTACAGTCATCAACCAGTTATATCTAATATAACTGCCTCCGTGGCCGAACGGGTACCATGCCGAACTGCCACGCAGAGGTCCCAGGTTCGATTCCCGGGCCGGGAGAAATATTTGTATGGCCTACAATTATTTCTCTCGTGAGTTTGGGTGTAATTTGTGGTTGTCTATGTGTGTGTCCATGGCACCCGCGACACAGGGTTTCCCTAGTGCGGGGCTATGTTGAGTGTGTGCGTTATTTATTTTATTATTTATTAATGAAAAAACAAATGTATGCGATTTAAATCCGGAAAAATAGTTTCATTTCCTATGTGTAACAATCGCAAAAACCTAAGAACTCGATATTTAGTATCATCATAAAAAAAAACTAAACAAAATTTTTATAATTGTATGTGTTTTATAAATGTATTTTTATTTATTTAGTAGCCTAAACAACCTACCTTACCAACTAAAAATTATTCTAAAGTAAAATTAAATGCCTGGTCTCAAATAATTTTAAGAATTCCCTGCACTATGAGTGCCAGAGCAACAGAATTAACTCTGGGACACTTTCCAGAACACACAGAACAGAATCAATTTAGAAAAGATCATTTCCCAATTTGGTTCTGCAGGGAATCGAACGTGCGACATCCAGCGCTGACAGTAACTGTCGGGCCTTCAAGGTCGTTGAGATTATTCGATATGTTTATACTTTCATTATGAATTGTTGTTCTCAGTTGGTGGATGTACGAGTGACACTACATTGGTTTGAAGTCGGCAGAGGCACATCCGAATCCGTTGTTTCCGCTACCGTGGCACAATGTTTGAGAAAGGTATGTAATCGTAATAATATTTCTTGTAGGACGTTACCATCCCATATAATGAGGTGCAGTCGGGTTTCTGATACGTCGGAGTTCGGTGCTTGTACCTGAGACGCTGACCCCGGCCGAATCCCATTTCCGGGGAATATGTCATTTAAAAATTTAAAAAAATTCTCTCTTATCTTTTAGTGAGAGAGACGAGACTTGATACACGTATTATTATTTTTATTATATATTATTATTTTTGAATATTGTTAAAGAAGTTGTATGAAAAGGGTAGTTGATGTATGTGAGACTAGAAAGTTCTGTCAGGATAGAGTGAGGTGGCGTTCTGTGGTCTCTGCCTACCTTTTCTATGGGACAAGGGCGTGAGCTTATGTATTATTATGTAACACCACAAACAAAAACAATAATTTTGGTTACCTTGCATTGTCAAATAGTTTTAAAACGCTCTACCAGAGTGTTGATAATAAAATGCTATGCTATTTTGTACTGAATGAGATGTTTATTTTTTTTATAATACTTAGTGACGGGTCGTACTGCTGGTGGTAAGCGACACGCCTGTCCATAACGGTTGCAGTGCTAGTCAGAGCTTTAATAAAGATCTGAGGGGCACTGCCACTGCGCCCGTAAGTTGACAAGTCCTATGTGCCTGTAACTTCACCAGCACCCAACTCTTCTTACTTACTCTTCCAACCCGGAACGCAATAATTATCTCATTACTGCTTGGCGGCAGAAATAAGTAAGGTGGCAATAATTCCCTGGACGAGCTCTTTCACAAGGAGCTCTACTGCTACTTAAACTAACACTAATTAGCCTCTGCCTACCCCAATAGGAATCTAAGGGCAAGAGTATATACAAAAAACTTGCCACCGAAATTAAGTAGAGACCTAACCTAAAATGACAAACGCGATTAAACAACACCTATAATAGCTATGGTCCCGTGCAGGTATTCGAAGAAGCTGAAGCAATTCTTCTGGAGCCAGTGATGTCCCTGGAAGTGGTATGTCCTGAGTCGCATTCTGCGCGCGTAATGGCGGACTTGTCGCGCCGCCGCGCAGAGATACAACACATCACTATCAGGCAGCAGAATAAGGTAAGGTACCTGTCGGCTGGCTGCTCTCTTTAGAATAGAATACGTTTATTTGCCAGAATACGGTATTTATACACATCTTGAGTAAAGTTAGGTACATTGTATTTCGTTGTGTCAATTTCTTTTCATTTTAAATAATCTTTGATATCATATATTATACACAGATGACATAACAAGTGAAATAATTTCTATTTAAATATGTTTAAGGGTAAGTCGCCTATCACTGCACGCAAAGCATTATATATCTTTATGGACATATTATAGCATTTCCTAGAAAAGCAAGTAGTATGGGAGGCGCCAGCCAAGCGGTTGGGATATCGAGTTAAAAAAGTGCATACTTCACGTTTCCTAGTAAATAGGGCCTAATTTTTTTTAACAAACATGCATACTTCAAATACGTACATTTTATGATATCAATGGTTTTTATGATACCAAACAAGTTGTGCGCCTGCTGGTAAACGAGACGCCTGTCCTTAACAGTTCCAGTGAAACTTTCTTAACTAACGTGATAATAAATCCAGTACGAAGCTTAACTTAAAAGTTGGGCTGATGCTGACTTCCCTTAGAGTCATCCCACCTTTTTTATTACCTTCTTTACTGGTCCCTGGTCATTTACTTTTGAAGTTTTGAAACAAATTCCTTTTTCTTCCACTATTCTTACATGGGATCGTTCCGTCATTCCCGAACATTCAACAACATCCAACAATGTCGAAGCAAGAGGACGTGCTTATTAGTTAATCATCATGTAAAAATTAACTTCATGTAATTTATCTGTTTTTAAAGCATTGGATAGATATATATGTACATACATATACGGGCGTGTTTGGGGTAAGTGCCTTCACAGTTAGTACTACTATGTTTTGTATTGTTTGTAACTTTTATATAAATGTTATATTTACGAGGCCTGTGTTTATTAAACAAAATCCAAGAAACTTTAACATAGTCAAAAGTAGATATAGAAATACGGCCCAAACAACGCCCTAATTTGGAATTTTACAGTAGAACGCTGTTCGTATTAGCACCCAAATTATTTAATAATTTGCCGGATGCTGTTAAAGAATTAAATTGTAGACAATTTAAAATGAACTATTGTATGTTATTTTTGACTTCTTATTTTCTGATTAAATTCCAATTGTTGTAGTTTGCTCATGTTATTGTGTATTGTTGCGTGCTACGTCTAAAGATTAAAAACCATTGTATAAAATATTCGCATGCCAAGTTATGGTGAAATGTACGATCTAATATAATATATACTCCCGGACACACAATTCGAGTCACGTCGCATTTTTGTTGTAAAGTGCTAGAATACTAAAATAGTGTTACCATGAAAGAAAAAGTTTTCCCCGGTTTTGCAAATCCAAATTCCCAACAAGGACTTTTGGAAAAGATGTTTAGTATACTAGTTTCAAAATTGCATAATAGTTTTTAATAAATCAAAGATTGTTTTAAGCTTAGGGCACTTAATACAGAAAATGCGTGTTAGCTCGAATTATGTGTCCGGAAGTGTATTATAAGACCTGCATTGTTAACTACATTTTTCAGCGAATAAATACCTTCTATTCTTGTATTCTATATAATAATAATAATGGATAAGGACCGAGCCCTTTCTTTTTACTTTCGCTAGGACTAGACCACATTGGCGCCCGAACAGAGACAAAAGAAAAGTATCGTAGTTCTTTCATGAATTTTTCTTCACCAACAGGTAATCGAATGCCTGGCCCCCCTCTCAGAGCTGCTAGGTTACTCCACAACATTACGTTCGCTAAGCTCGGGGCTGGCATCCTTCACCATGGAGTTCCACTCGCATCGACAGATGGCGCCGCACGACGAGGAGAAGGCCATCAAGAGCGTCACTGGGTTTTAGATCCTGGTTCCTATAAAACCACACACACCTTTATCGCGACAGTTACGCGCGACTACAGCCGTACGCCGTTAACATAGACTATAATTTCGTACCGTTGGTTTAATAAAGCAACACGTGATATATATACGTCAAAAGTGTTAAACTTTTATCGTGTCG